GAGAATTCCAAGAACACCAAGGATGAGGATAAGGATTGGATTCAGACCTGGCCCACCAAAAGTCTTTAATAATTTGGTTAATAACTGCCACAGTTTTTTGGGGTAATTGTACAACAAACATATTATGAGTTGGAATAGCTTGGAGGACAGACTAAATGAAAACTCTTTTATCGGCTTGACTAAGAGTTGTAGCTTTCCATTTATTAAGCTTAGCCTTAAGATTATCCAAGATATAGGATAATTGAGAGTATTTGTTTCGACCCCAGATTAGAGGAAGACCTAGGTATTTGGTATCCACAAGAAGGGCTTGAATCTGGAGTTATCTATGAACCATTCTCTGGTGCCTAGGATGGATGTTCTTACTAAAGTAAACTCCTGATTTTTCTAAGTTGACTAATTATCCCAAAGAATCTTGGAATTGATGGAGGATAGTTTTAAGGTTATCTAATTCGTCTCGATGACCACAGAGGAATAAGAGGATGTCATCTACAAAGAATAAATGGGAGATTGAAGGGGTCTAGTAGATATTTGTATGGCTTTGAGATGACTACTATGTTCAGCTTTCATAATCATCCGAGTAAGACATTCCATGGCTATAACAAATAAGTAGGGTGATAATGGATCACCCTGTCTCAAGCCTCTAATGGGTAGAATTTTCCCTTCACTGGTTCCATTAATAAGAATAGAATAGGAGACAAAGGAAATACACTCTAGAATGGTGTGACCGAAGTCTTCCAAAAAACCTAAAGGTTTTAAGACTAAAAGAAGAAAATACCATTTTAGTCTACCATAGTCTTTTTCCATATCTAACTTGATGGCCACAAAGGTTGTACCTCTCTTGTAATGTTTTAAGAAATGGAACATTTCATGTGCAATGATGGTGTTATCGGTCATCTGACGCCCTAGGATAAGGCAAATTGGTTCGAGGAGATACATTTGTCCAAGACAGTATGAAGTCTGGTAGCTAAAATTTTGGAAATGATTTTATAGAGTACATTACAAAGATTGATTGGACAAAAGTCTTCGACCTTAGTACAATTGACATTCTTTGGAACAAGACAAATAAAAGTGTGATTTAAACACTTAAGTAATTTCTTGTTCTGGAAAAATTCTTGGGCAAAAGCTACAATTTCAGAGCTCATCATATCCTAGTATTCTTTATATACTAAAGTTGGCATTCCATCCAAACCTGGAGATTTGAGACAACCTATACTAAATAAAGTTGTTTTGACTTCTTCTTAAGAAGGGATGATAGTTAAAATGACATTCTCTTCCTCAGAAATGATAGGAGTAAAGATATTCGAAATAAAGGATAAATCCTGTTGAGGTCGATGTGTAAATAACTCCAAAAAATAAGAAATAAAGAATTTAGATATATCTTTATGCTTTGTCACCCAAGAATTAGTACAATCTTTAATTCCTTGAATTTCATTTTTTTTTTCTGGTGGCATAGAGTACTTTTGTGAAAATAGATATTATTCTTGTCTCCCAAAGTAAGCCAGAGTTGTCTAGACCTTAAAATAAATAGAGTACAATCTTTATTCTTGTAGTTAAAATGCCCATATAAATAGTGAGTTTTTAACAGCAAAAAGGAGACAAGTCCTTAAAATAAGGAATGCCAAATGCAACATTAGCCTTTGGCTTTAAAATAAAAAGTAGGTTTGAAAGTCTGCCTTTCCGTCATCTCTTGTTGTCGATGGTGGGGTCCTCGGTCTACGGTTTCCATGGCAGTCCGATCTCTTGCTATCGTAATCTGCCTTTCCGTCATCTCAATCTCGGCATTCTCGATCATGTTGAGCTTCTTCTTCTCGCCTCCGTAGCACTTGAGCTTCCTCAGCGTTCATGTACTTTTGTGCGTATGTCATGAGCACGGTTAGAGTTGCAAGAGAGTTCTTTTCCATGGAGAAGCTGAACCTAGACGAGCGTAGTCTGTTCATGATAGCAACTATGGCCACTGACTAGTCCAGCCCTCAATGTTAAACCTTGTTAGGTAGTCCCTTGGTGTTTCCCCTTCCTTCTGTTGCACTTGCATGAGGTTGGCTGAGGTCTTCTAATGTCTTTGGCTAGTGGTGAATTGTATTAGGAACCGGGTCTCGAGCTACTCCTTGGTGGCGATAGACCACAATGGTAGTGCAGCGTACCATGTTCGAGCCGCACCCTAGAGGGTTGCAACGAAGGCTTTGCACATGAGGCCTTCAGACAAAGCCGTAAAGCATCATCGTCGATTTGAACTCCTTGAGGTGATCACTCAGGTCCAAGGTGTTGTCATACTTTTCAAACTGTGCAGGCCGCCACCTGGGAGGAGGGAGCTCGTCCACGATCTCTTGCGCGAACACTGGCTCTTTGGCTAAGTGCAGTTTACTGGTCTATTCGCCGAACAGGCCGCACTATAATCTGCCTAGCTACACTCCAACTCGTCCAATCTTTCCTATTGTAGGTGTATGATGGTCACCTGGACCATGAGAACATAGAAGGTGCTAAACCAATACCACATAAATGCTTATAATGAATTCATAACTCGACACACATATGCGATGAGCTCGGAACTCACATTAACATGCACTAAGCTTAAGAACCAAAATGAGCTGCGAGGAGCTCCGGACCTGCGCTGACTTGCGATGAGCTCAAAGCCACAACACAACTGCGAAGAAGTCAAGCTCATCATAGGTTAGAAATGAGTAAAAGGGACACGTGCATCACTAATAACGCGTGTGACAGAATCTCTAGTAGGATTAGAAAAGACATGCAAGACAAGTAATGACGTCATCTGCGCCACATCAGTCTAAGAGGCTCGCGGAAGGAAGTAGCACAAGTGTATTAAGAGAATCCTTAGACGAAAGGAAAGCTCATCCTTGTGATATCTCATAAGACACGTGGAGAAACCCTAGCGGTGCTCACTGATACCGAATCCAAAATCCCCCTCCCTAATGGGAATCAAACACTTTTGACTCCTTCTTTTCGAGACTTCAGGATCTCTCCCTATAAATAAGGATCCAACTCATAACGAGATCATCATTCTACCATTTCATCCTTCCTAGCCTTTAGCCTATCCCCAGCCTCCAGCTTTCCTTTGTCCTTCAAGGAGACCCCCGCACGTAGCCTTACCTCCCTACTCACACTCGTAAGCTTCTGACTTCTATGTTCCGGTCCGTCGAGTCGACGTTCATTGATTTTTCTACTTTGGCCGCTGCTCTTTGGTCTCGGATAGAGCTAGACTCAGCCAATGAGATCATAGATTGCTGGTGTGAGCATTGGCTGAGCCACTCTTTGGCAGGGAGTCAAGTGCTGGCATGGTGGAACCAACTGTGAGTGTCATTGGCTCAGGTTCGAGGATGATAGTAGGACTTCCAAGACAGTTGGGGCTGCTCACGTTCTATTCTGGTTTTCTACCACTTTGCAGGGCACTTTTTAGGGTCCTCGGTTCAAGGATCAACCGTCATAGGCACCTGTGCGGTGAGGAGAGCGGTTGGAGGGGCCTGTCCTGGTTGTCCCAATGCTTCCATCATGGTGATTATGTTGTCGACCTTCTATTGTAGGTCATTGAATTGGGCGGGGTCGACTTGTGCTTGTGGTTAGATCTCCCACGGCGGGGAGCTACGTAGTGAATGGGATTCCCAAGATGGGGAGCGAGCTCTAGAGTGGTCAAAAGTGTTCTTAGGCATTATGGCTTTTGGCGCACAGTAAGAGAGAATGTAGGGAATAGGCTTTTTGTATGTTTCCTACATACTATGCCAATTTGATGTTGTCCGATCTGAGGTGGCCCAAACCAAGGACGTAGCCAGATAGTCCTACACACCGGACAAGGCTAAGGTGGAAGGATGAAGACATGCACCGAGGTGATTTGCAAGCATAAGAAGAGTTAGAAGGCTAAGGAGTTATTCTTTGAGTAGGCACTCCGATGCTCAAGTCAATAATGATGGAAGATCAGTCGAGACAAGCTGATGAGAACAGGCTAGTCCAGACTGAGGTGGATGCAATGGGTCCTGAGGTGAGTCGATAGTCAAAAGTCATTTACCTTGAGGAGAGATGCCTTTATATAGCCGAGTATCCGTGTTGTAGTCGGATAAGGCATGCAGGGTTGTCAAGATAAGGTTGTCCGCCAAAGCTTCCGGGAGCTTCCCCTTTCCTTGGTTGGGCACATCTCCTCATCTGTATAGAACTCTATCATCCTCGGTGTGCCTTCTCGCAATGTGGTTGCGTTGAATTGTGCTGATGTGTTCCAATAAAATTGGCCACGAAAGACTACATGTGGCGACTTCAGCCAACTCGAACACCGCCCGAACAGCCCCAACGTGGTTCCTTTCCTTATCTTTTCTTCAAACCAAATACAGTATATCCAAATCACTATATTTCTTTTGCTCAAACAGACTTTAGTTTTAGACTGGTTTGCACTATATTCATATCTGCGCCGTGGACCTGGAATTTCTCTCTACTTGGGCTGAATAATAAGGAATTAAGGATCATTAACAAGCTAAGGCCCTGCCCGATCTAGCTAGCTGCCAGGCCAGGAATTAATATTTGCCCCACCTTGCTCACAATTATTAATTGCTGGATGGTGGGGCATAGTGTGTATAGTGTTTTATTTTATTCAAACCATTGCTGCAGACCTGCGACTGAACTAAGCAAGGTGAGCCGGACCACACCTTAAGAAACCAGACCAGAGATTCCCGATCGAGTGCTGAAGGTGCGATTATTCCATATCCATGGTGTACGTAAAAGTTATTAATGCTATATATATATATATATATATATAATATAATTCTATAAATAAATAAAAATCAAACATAGATTGCATATTTTAGCAAGCAAAGATGAACCCAAAATACCCAAATTTTATTAAGATTAATTGATTAATGTCTCTCCTTGAAAGATAGTACAAGAATATTACTACATCAACGCTCAAAGGAATAGTTGGGCCCATGGCTGATCAACTACTGGGTGGTCGGCGAGGTTGGCAATTGAGGTGTGTCAAACCGCTCCAGCTCAACTCACCACATAAGTAGCCTCTTAAAGGCCTACCTTAATGCATACGACCTATGCGTCGTCTATTACACAAGCCAAAAATTAGAAAGAAACTACTAGCTACAACATGCATGATGTGAATGAACATATCTACAACTTATTAAGTGTTTGCTTTGCCCATCTCTACTCTACGTCGTCATTAATGCAATTCAGAAGTTGAGTATGTTGGCATAGGGCGTCCAGTTGTCTAGCCAAGGGCTACGTAGTTGGGTCCAGAATGGGTCCTGTGTCCAATCCATGGTCAGCTTAGGCAGCTGGAGCTCTGGTAGTTTCTTCTTCAATTTAAGCCCATCTCTTGCCAAAAACCAAGCATCTTTATTGTCCTTGCCGTCTTCCTTCTTTTCTTCTTCTTCTTCTTCTTTTTCTTTTTCTTCGGTTTTAAAGACAATGCCACTTTGCATGGGCTTCGGCGGCATCTGTGTCGGTTTAGTTATGGCCATGAGATCCTCTTGAGGCTCATATGACGACAATTCATTGTCCATCGCCGGAGATGATGATGGAGAAGAAGCAACAATGATCGTTTTGGTGTCTTCTTCCATTGCTGCCCTTTGCTCAAGGACCTTCAAAGACGTGGCCTTCCTGTACACCTTACAAAGTACTATGTCTTCCTGCATCCACAAAATCGTATCCAAAACACTAATTAATCCAATAGTCTTTATTGAGCCATGTTGGGCCAACAATATAATTGTTACAAGGTCTGGACTCTGGTGGTAGGCTTCATATATTATACAGGACAAGGCTTAGGCCTGGGCCCGCGTGCACCCGACATCACACTAATAAACACTTATTTGAAAATAAGCTCGAATAAATGCTTAATAATAAGCTATTTGAAAAGTCCAAATTTTAAGTATTTATTCAATAATTGCCTATTTGAAATAAGTGTTTTTTTCTCCAAACTCTGAAATAAGCACTTATTTTACAAATAAGCACCTTCAAACTCCGCCTTTGTCTCCTTGTTGAACGATGAAACAATACCCGGTAAAAATCGATGGTCAGTCGACTCAGTTCCATACCTAAAAAAATGGACTTAGTGGAAGGGCGGGCCCTTCGTGCAGAACCCGGGAAGTGATCCATTTAAGTTAAAAAGATATATATATATATATATATATATATATATATATATATATATATATATATATATGAAAAATTATATATTTATATTATATCCCATTCCCAATTTCCCATGTATTAATTAATGTTTATTATTAGAATAAACATTTACCTTGGGTAAGGTGCATGTTTCGGGCATCCGGTACTCGTTCATGACCCAATCGGTCTTGGACCCACGTGGGGCTCTTCCCTTGTAGAAGACGAGAGTCTTCCTGAGTCCAATGATCCTCTTGGGGTTGGATAGGCTCCGTATGGGACGGTCGGAACCGGTGGCCTTCCAGAATCCATGCTCCGTGGTGCGGTTGGGTCTTCCGCCATTGCCATGTTTTCGATCTCTGGGCACAAAGAAATACCACTCCCTCTCTCCAATCTTAGCTAATCCTGCCATACACCAGCAAGTAATAGTAAGTTGACGCATTTCCATTGACTGAAATGAAAATCTGAAATCACAAATTAACAAAACAAAACTTTTAAAGCAAAACCCAAAAGGTGATCGATCATGAGTACATACCAGGCAAATCCCATGGATCGTGATGGTATATGTTGAGGAAACCGATTATATCGAAATGGATTTTTTTACCAAAAACTGTCTTTTTGAGGTAAAAGTCGAGCAGCTCTTCTTCTGTTGGGTGGAATCGGAAGCCCGGAAGCCCAAAATCCGGGGATTTAGTCGTTGTCGATGTAGTTTTTGGTGGATGATCCTGCGACATGGTAGCTTAAGGGAGGGCTTCGTCTTCGAGAACTTCTTCTTCTTCTCCCTCTCTCTCTCTCTCTCTATCTATCTATCTATCTATCACACAACCTTTTGCTGGGTGGCTAGTTCATCTTTCTTCTTCTTCCTGAGTTTTATTGGGTAGGTGAGAGCTGAGCATGAATTAACACTTTTTATAGAAATACAGAACTAAAGACAAAAGAGACCCAGAAGAACGAAGGTTGTGTGGAAATTCAGGGACAGGACTCATGAGTCATCAAGCTGTGGTGGGTCCCACGCGCTTCCTCCTTTGCTCCGCTCCGCTGGGTTGGGTGGGACTTGGGAGGGGAGACTGAAGACCCAGCGACCGAGCAGAGATGGGTGTGTATTGGACTGTTGGGTCTAGTCCCTTGACAAGGACCGGTCTTTTTGTTGTTGTAAGAAGACTTTTTTTACCCGGAAATTTTCCACTTCCATAAACAATTCCTTCTTTTTATCAGAAAATAAAATGATCAGACTCAACACTTGTAGTAGGATCTTTATTTTTGTTATAAGAGAAGGATGTAAATTTGGGGTTAAAGAAGGGAGCTGATGATATTAGATAGAATGGAAGTTAACATGATAATCCCCCACCTTCAAATTGATGATTTGGAAGAGAATTAAGGGCCTACTTGGTTTGTAGGAATAAGGGTTTGTAATCAAAATCAAATTCTAACTGTTTGATTGGGTGGAATTTGCAATTCCATTCCCATTAATCCTGGTGGAATGACATATTCCCATTTGAGAAAATGACCATTCCTCCTCTCCTTTGAAAATAAAATCTCATTTCAACTGATTTCAGTTTTTATTCCGATCGATTGCTGTATAAATCATACAGATTATTGAAATAGAATATTTCAATTTTAATTCCAACTGTGCATCAAATAGACCCTAAATCTAAATAATCACATAGTCAGATTAGAAATTGAGAAACCATTAAAACCACACTTGTTTTGAAGTGGCATATCACAAATATATAGCCTCCCGACCAGGCTTGATTGGGTCTGTAACAGGTCTTTGTATCTCCTCGCCCGCACGTCTGTGACTACTCAAATATAGGAGAAAATGTAATGGGATGTCTGTGACTGTGAGAGAGACTGAATGGAAGTATTGAAAGAAAATGCTTCATGTCCGGACCCATTTGCCACTCGACATTAATTGTATTTTATTTTCATTAGGGTACCGATCATGACTTCTTTAAGATTTCTTTTCCTGGGTCAAGTGGGAAGAGAGGAAATCAATGGAGAGAGAATGTGTGGATGGGGAAGAAAATTAATAAATGTCATTAAAATTTGTGAATCCAAGGCAAATATAGTTTTTTTTTTTTTTTGTGGTGTTTGAGATATTTTTAGATCAATATTTGACTCATTAATATTTGAACTTGAATCAAAATCCTATCCATCTGATTTCTATGGCATCTAGACCCATTCACATTGCCATTGATATCCGATAATACTAATAAAAGAAACTGAAAGCTATCAAAATATTTTATTTTATTAATAAAATGAACTAAAAATTAGTTTTAATATTGTACATTATTAACAAAATCAATTGTAATTTGAAAATAATTTGTACAGAACTTAAATTAGGACTCTTTATTTGGTAAGATTATGACACCGACAATACATGATATCAAAAAATCTTATAACCAATCAATCAGCATCATCATAATGGCAACCAATCAGGTGGATTTTCATTAAAATTTTCCAAGAGTTTAATTGGTCAAAACCTTTTATTATGTCTTTCTGGCATTATAGATTTTTGCTTAATATAACATTCTAACCAATTTTATTAATAATAAATACTACATATTAATCCAATTATAGATGTATCAAATTTGGGTCACTCTCAACTAGATCAGATTCAAATTCCCCACTCCCTTTTCTTGTCTTGATGACATATATGGTGGAAGCTAAGGGGCAGCTGTTCCACCATAAGTAATTATTTTAGCATAAAAGAAGACAAGACATCCATTGAATGAGTCTACCCTAAGGCAGTGTATGGTTTGATAGATAAAATAAGAGAGAAAGTTCAATGAATCCTGTGAAAATCCTTGAAAACTTTCTGTTTCTCTCTGCAATGTGAAAATCCTTGAGAACTTTCCTTCAACTTACTGTTTCTTTCTGCAACTTATATTTAAGGTTATTTTAGTATAGATAGATAGATAAAAGGAGTTGAGGTAGGCTTCTTAGGCTTCTGTTCCTTCCCTTCCCTGGTTTCAAATTAGTTATTATATGTAATTGAAAATGCTTAAACATCAATGTCTTATGCACTACTGATGCGTTAATTTTTTTTATTATAGTTTTCTTGTTTTTTATCCATTTTTTGATGCGTTATCCTCATTCTACTTTTTTTTCTTCAACCAATGGCGTTATTCCATGAATGGGTCAAACTGTTCGAACCATAAAAGACAACAGTTGAACCACGAATTTTTCTTTCATCTTCATGTGACATCAATGTAACTAGCTATTCTGATTATTAATTTACAAATATATATCCGTCTTTGTCTTGTCATAGAAGTTAAATAAATATAGTTGGGCATCATATCAAGTATAGCCAACACATTAAAAAAAAAAAAATCGTAACAGTAAAAGCTTTAAAATCGTAACAGGAAATCTGTTTTCCAAGCATTGGCTGAAACCATAAACACCCCAATAATCCTTGTGTCTCCATACACATAACTTGCCTTCTGGCTTCAATAAATATTCGAGCGAGCAAGGTATTGAGGGATATTCATTCTTTAACCAATTTTCTAGAAACCCTAAATATTCCAATCCCTTACCCAGACTTTGCCATCTTCCCAAATCTTCCGCCAAGTTAGGGTTTGTTCGTTTCCTCTTAACTCTTATTTCTTAAGAGAAATATTTTAACTTTAAGAGAAAATTTGTTGTTTCTTTTCTCTTATCTCTTATCTTTTAAAGTGCAATCATACAATTTTTTGTTTTCCAATGATGCCTCCAAAAAGATAAACAAAAACTCTCATATATAGGGTCAAAATAGATATTTGATGATTTTCAGAATTCAGAATACAGAACAACATTCTCTGCATTCAAAGTTCAAAGGAAAGAAAAGTTTATCAATACCAATATACCTCTTAATGTAATTATTACACTTTCAGATATCAGACTTCAGAGGAAACGAACAAATCCTTAATCTCCATCTCTAAGTTTTAGAGGCATTTCTCAATCCGCATTCAAAAGACTCTTACACCATTCTTATCCCTATTGACTTACAATATGATGCTATAAAGTAAATTAAATTCCATCACACACCACACATCGTAGAATGATATTTGAGGAAAGCTATA